AGCTCATTATACTATCATAGGAAAATTTATTTAAGTAATTTTCAATAAAATTTTACTTAAAAATTCGTTTAAATCGATTGGGGTGTATCAATTTTAAAGAAATCGTACGGTATATGCACAAGCGTTGCGCACAAGTGTTCAAGTAGACGGACGAGCCGACGGACGAGCCGACGGATTGGCAGACAGACGGACGGTCGGACAGGCAGACGGACATACATATAGAAAGACATACGGTCAGAAAGATAGATGAGCGGATACAAAGAAGAGTGGAAAGATAGACGGGGAGATGGACGAGGAGGCAGATGGACAGGCATACAGACGGACAGGCAGGTAGACGGACACGCAGGAAGGTGGACGGACGAGCAGACAGAACAGAGAGATATTTTGCTGTCAATTTATTTTTCGGTACCAAGAAGCCATAAAACGTGAATTCTGATTGTGAAAGAAAGTAATTTGCTATATAAACAAGATTTCTCCACTTTTTCGTTATCAGGGCCCGACCAAAGGAAATTATAAAAATTGTCCGATTTCCGCTCGGGCATTACAGTACTTTCACTTTACGGAAGTATGTACGAAGACGAGGAAGTAAAAATAAATAATACACCGATGGTATCAGTAGACGATCTATTGTAAAGATTACATGTTTAAAATTAGATATAATTCGCACTATTTAATATTGAATATGAACAAAATTACCGGGAAAGAATAAGATACTAAAAATACGATTCTGATAGTTTGGATACTTGCATAATGTATTTTTTTAGATTTGTGCCTTGGATTTCATCAATATATCAAGTCAAACCCCAACTTAACGTGAGTATCCCCTTACTTCTCTGGGCTGGTTAATCGATCTTGTTCAGAAGGGAAAGGGCAGAAGAGCAGGGGACGCACGTGCTTGGAAGGAAAACGTGACGATGCCCGTGACTAGAATCCTCAAATTTTAACTAATACTACTGCACACAATCTTAACTATCCGGATTTCTACTCCTGGCGGGTGGGGAACTTGAATACGTTTGCCAGAATGTACGGAATGTCAGATTAAATACGTATTTTGAGGGGAATGAGTGATTAAAAGTGAGCAGTAGTTTTGGGTGGGATGGACATTTTTTCGCATGCCTGTAGTCCTGAAAATCGTAGCGGAAAGTATGGTCAGGAACTTACAATGAATCAACTGAAACTAGAGGTGCTACAGAATGTCGCTTTCTTATATTAGTTGGTTTCCTAATCTCTTGCATGTGGGCAAGCTTTTCTGTTTTGTCCCACCCTCATCACCGAAATGAGATTGATTATAGTGATTTCATGAACCAAAACCACATAAGAAAGTGTAAAGTTTTAGTACCCTTTCTATCTTCTTCTGCCAACTGAAGTGATATTACTCGTTTTTATTTCCGTTGTTTCAAGATTAACGAACGGTTTCATATATACTTTTCGGATTTGTTGCCTGCAGACATGTGTGAAGAAGAAGAAGAAAGGAGAAGAAAAGTTTGTTGAGAAATTATTTTGGAATCGACATTTCAAAAATTACTAGAAACATTCTGCTACGGTATCAAAATCTCTGTGGACAATCTAGAACATTTTATATTCCTGCTTACATTGCACTGTAATCCACAGTGCCCTGATATTGTTACAGCTTACACATATTGCTTATAGACTACATAGTTTGAAAGTTTACGCCTCAAAGTTGAAAGAAATAAAATGTGACGTTCTAATAACAAATAAAAAATGTAAAAAAGCTGTGCCCATTTGATAACAATATTTAAGAAAAAGATAAAACTCTCATTGTGAAATTCTATTACTTATTACTAATGTCTCTATATTTAAATTGCAAGAGGTATTAATAATTCGGTGTGTGCTGTACTACCGAGAAGACGACTGTAATGTCATAGTTAAGTAGATGGAATCGTGAATTTCCCTTAATTAAATTCCCCAGCAAATACCTTAACTTCACGCAGGTATTCCAACCCACTATTCTCGCGCCATTCAGTGTTTATGCCATCTGCGATTGTAATACCGGCTACATTGCCACAATTTCACATAACTAAATATAATTGTGTAGATTAATTACATTTTTAATTGATTTTCGGACTTACGAAATGTACCGTTTTACACACTGTCACACTTTACCACATCAGCATCTCGCAGATTAAACAAATGCTCAAAAATTTCCTTTGGAGATTGATACCTCCAAATATGTATAAAAATATCTTTTATTCGGATTTAATTAGGGGAAACTTTCACGATTACATGTACTTATTAATTTTAAAACTTCCCCCAAAAAACAACAAATGTCAGTTCTGTCAAATACGTAATAGCGTATTTGCGAGTCGCCAAAGATTTCAAAATCCAGTGATTCTACGATCGAAACACGGATGGCGGATTTCGGATCAAAGTGAATGTTCGTCGAAGCATCCCGCTGACATGATGACATTTGTTGAGTTTGGATGTTCTTATTGATTCATCCAATTAGTGTTGATTTCTGTCTTTGTTTCGTCAAATTATTACTTTCTCACATTTACATCGTATAAAGAGGAATTATTGTAATCGCGAGATAGAAAACGGCGAATTTTCGCCACCAAAACCCTTTTTGTCAGGATCTGATACGAAAAAGTGGATCCTTTTTGTTCCTACATATATTAAATTACTTCCTCTAACACGTTGTGTACAAATATTAGGAAACTGATTTGTGGGTCCTTGACACCAACAATAGATTGACGGCAAATCTTGGGTATGGCCATCTGTCTGTAAGTTTAGTCTGTGGTAATTGCTAGCTCCAAAACCTTTGAGCTGATTTTCTCCAAAACTTCTATTACCCGATCGGCATGAACGAGCTTGAGGGTTTGGGAGTTTAAAACTGACATTTTCATTTTAACGGTTATTTACGTGAAGCATCAACATTTTCAAATTTTTCTCAAGAAGGGAAACAAATGTTTAGTTTAAACTTTGTCCTCGGATAGCGTAAAGGTTGATTAAGAAAAAAGCGTAGTTTTTTTCTTTGAAATCTCTAATTTTTGGAAAATTGCCAAAGTTCATATTTTTAGCGTTTTCCAATACCCCCTAAAGAGAATTTTAGCTACCTATAAAAATGAGTGTTTTGCATAATTTTACGTGAAATACGCAGTTTTTAAAATTTACTCGATTATTTTCTCAAAAAATCTCCAAATCATTTCTTTAAATTTGTTCACGTATCAGGAAAAGAACGTTTCAGGTATCAGGTATAGAAGGTGGTGCTGATTTCATTTTCGGCGCACTCTGTGCATTTTCGAAAAATTTTTATCATTTAAACATTACAAAATTCAAGACAGAGATTGTCATCCATGAAAGTTGTTCTAAAAATTAACACTTTGAAAAATGGTCATGTACAATTCTCGGGAAAAACAAACAGTTCTCACGTAAATTCTGATTAACATTAATTAAAGATCAAGACAATTTACAAAAGGAACGTTTTCTCAAAAAACGCTCCTAATTTTTATTTTAATTATTTTCCACGATTAAAACTAGGGAATTAAACTAATGATGGGGTCTCAATTACATATCTCTCTTCATTTTTGAAAATTGCATGTTGGAAAAATTGGGTGTTGGAACAATTAGATTTTTAAGCGTCGTCCAGAGTTGGCTCGTTAGAGCTACTGCTTAACGTGAGGCGCTCGGCGAATGAACTCGTAAAATCAGTGGTTGAGCCTCAGAGCGAAAAAAAATGTTCTAGTTGAAAGCCCATTTGCACGTCCTTGGACGAGTAGTAGTGTTCTATTATAGCGCAATTACTAATATTGTGAGAAAGTATGAAATGTTGTAGGCACTAATATCTAGTGGATGCCGGAATACTATCTTAAACCCCTGATCTTCGCCTGTGTACGAGACTTCCTTCCCCATCCTGATTTCATCCCCATTGGTTGCCCGGGCGATCGTTCAATCATTTACCCCTAAACGTTCCATTACCCATGATCTCTAAAGACTCCGCCTGAGAGAACGCCTGTGTCAAACCACACCGCAAATTTCGTCACGTATCATTCTCCACTTTTTTCTGCTCCACAAATCGTCCGCGATCCTTTCTTTGCAAACCTCATTTCTTTCCCATTTTTTAGATCAAATGGTGAGCAAATCCCTTACCGGAAAAACGTTTCGTCTCCGTCTCATTTCATTCCCGTTCTTAAGGTCGGACGATGAACTATTTCCTTAGAGAAAAAAATAAACATGAAAATAATCATCCCTGACAAAAAAAAGCAACACAAAACGAAACAAATTTCATCTCCATGATTTTGAAAGACTGACAGTGCGAACGTTATACACCCCCCCACCCAAGATATTGTGCGTCATCTTCCCAGGATTCCGCCTCGTGTCTTCCTCCAGTTCCCTACAGTCCCATTTACCCACTACGGTTTTGATTGATTGATTAATGGTTCCGGGCGCGTCAACGGCTAAGGTCATTAGTCCCGTAAGTGTAGTGCATGTTTATATCGTGGGGAGGTGGCGGTGATTTGCTCCCGCTGGCTGGCGAGAGCCGGCGCTGACCTACGTCGGCATGCGGGTATTTCTCCCTGCCAAAGATCTCCCACCCGCGTCGCAGCCGGGAAAAGCTCTAAGCTCCCGACTGGCCTCCCGGCACGTGTGATAGTGAAGTAAGAAATGAGGAAATAAAAGAGGAGGAAGGAAATATTGCGCACGGTTAGTGGCACGTTTGTTAGGGTACTGCCCTGACATTCACCCGGTGTTGATTGGAGAAACCACGGAAAACTACCGATCAGAGCAGCCGGCCTCTATACAAGTCTCCTCCAGACAGCCGGTGAATTCGACCTAGCTGACAAGCCAGTGTCGAAAATCCTTCCCCCGTCAGGAGTGGAACCCTAGGACCTCGCGGTCAGAGGCGCTGCTCTGACATCAGCCCCGAGCCACCTTCGCCGGTGCCTCCCCCGACGTCGCGTCCGAGTCGATCTTATTTTCTCCAGGGGGAAACGCGGGCGGGAGAGCGTTCGACTCGCGAGGAGTCGGCGGAGACCCGATCGATGTTTCGCCCGCCTAGCGCCGCCGCTGCCGCCGCCGCCGCCGCGCGCGCCAGTCCGCTTCGACCCTGCCGCGCGGACGGGCCGGTCGGTCGCATCGTCGTCGTCACCGCCGCCGCAGCCGCTGCCGCAGTCACCGCGCTGCCCTGGAAGCGAACTCTGGCCTGGCCCACCCCGCCACGCCCCGCGCCACTCAGCTCGTCCCTCCACGCCGTCGGCCGGTAAGAGGGTGTTATCTTTTTTTTCCTGTTTACGCGCGGCGCTTTGGAGGGTTGCTGGTTGGGATGGGGCGGTGTCGTTGACCTGTTGTGAAAAGCGTTGAGTTGGAAAGGATTAACGAGCTTTGGAAAATGTTTAGATATTTTCTCAGAATGTGATCTTCAATTAAATCTCGGTTCGCTTAGTATCTTAAATGTCCTGCTTCGCAGAGCAAATGGATTAATATTTATGAAAGTGTCATTTAATCTTTAGTTTTTAATTATGTGTAGCCAACCCATTATTATTTCTATAATTAATAATTCTACTAACAATCATATTAATAAATGTGTTGAACTAATATTAATTAGTAATTTCTTGCTATGAAATAAATTGGAATACTCGTATTTGTAAATTCACGTGTAATTTCATATTTCATTAGCCTGGAGAACATAAAGAGTTTTTAGTAAAATGTCCGTAAATGTAATGTAAACTAGTAATGTAAATTAAGTATTTCTATCTGCTGCGAAGTTTTTTAGTAAAATTACAATATTTGTATTTTCAGATTTGTAACTATTTTGCCTTGCCCACATTAGTTTTTGAATGTATGAGACATGTTGAATAATAAGGTTTCAAATTAGCAATCGTTTATCGCATTCAAACTTTCTCTTATACCTTTCATAGTAGTATTATATAAAAGTATGTTTGGCGCTCAAGTGCAAATGCATGTCATTTGCTCATGAATAAAATCTATTTACTCTGGAGTGACAAACCTTATTTTTTCTTGCCTTCTCTTTAATAATTTATTTGTACAGAATTTAAATTACCCTCAAAATGTTCTCTTTATTAAATTTCTTTTTTCTTAATATTTCATCGTAAGCAGCGGTGTCAAGTTGATGTAGGATTATTGCTGAAATTTTCATCGTCGAACTTCTTGTATTCGTATATTTCAATCTAATCTGTCATTATATCTACATAACCTTCGAATGTTAATAATATTACCTTTTTATTTTTAAATTACTTGCATTTATGACTATAAGGTTTATATTATTTATATGTATTATTTAACAATTAAAATACAGTTATTTATTAATAAATACATTTATTTTAATTGTTAAATAATACATAATAATGTCATATAACATATTTATATATTAAATATTGACTTAACTTTGAATTACATGAAAAATAAAAGTTATAAATTACTAGTAATAATTTTTGTTCCTAATATAATACGCATTATCTAATATATTTCTAATTAGATGTTCTCCAAATGTTAATTTTGTTTGATATACGTGTTCTTTGCAGTACGTGGTAATTTAAAAAAATTTAAGTCTATAACCATTTTTTTGTATTTCTTAAGGAACGCTCTTATTTGAAACGAAATTCGCGAAGTGGCAGCATGTAAACTGATTGGCAATACCATAAAGCGTTAATAAGTTGGACGTCAAAATCCTGTCCGTCGATAATCCGGAAAAGATTCGGTGTGCAAAAAATCGCATGAAGTGAGTACACAACATATTCACATATTTGTTTAAAATCTATATAAGATTGAATAATTTTAATCAACATTGATAGTAAAAATAATAAATTTTGTAACCATTGTAGTGACTTAAAAATGTTTTAATTTTTCATTTTGAAGACCCGGTCTTTTTGTTCGTTAAAAAAGTAAACGAATAATTTGATAATACGGAAGAAGACAGATCGAAACGAATCCGGATTCGAAATTCTCCTATACAAATTTGATTAAATATATTTTAATTTTAGATTGTGGGGAAAATGTAATGTATTCCTAGAAGATTTACAACAGTCAATATTGTTATAGTTGGTACCCATTTTTAGAGAGAGAACGACTAAATATAATTTTAGTAATTATTAATAACAATCATTGTTGAGTATATCTTATATCGTGACGTGAGCTGTAGTCATAATTTACCTTGTTTCTAACTGCAAAGCATGTTCATATTCTGGGACGTTGCATTTGTAGTTACATACCAGACTTTGTCAAAGTTCGACTACCAGCTTTTCGTGACTGCTTCCCTTAGTTGTATAGATGTCTCCAAAACCATTTACGCATACTTCTGCAGTGCATATTTTGTCGAGCACTGTATATAAAAGAATCCAAGTTCGGGAATAGTGGAACACCAATGATGTAAATAACTTTTTCGTTAGTAAATTCATGGACAATTTTGTAATTTTGCTTATTACAATTCCTTGTATGTTAGAAAAGAAATAGACCAAAACGTTTCCTATTAACTGTTCAAACGTATTAAGGCTATATTAATGTGTGTAGGATTCGTGACTTTTAGGACCACCCTGCTTATTGATTAATTGTGGGATGTACAACATACGTAAATCAATGGTAATTTTAAAGGAAAATAATAATTTATAATATTATTAATTACTATATCGTAAATTATGAATTAATTAATCTCATAAATTATAAATTTATTATTACTTTTTATATGCATTTCATTAGAAGAAGGAAGAGAAAGGAAAGATCGTATGCGGTCCGCGGCCCGTTTGTTAGGGTAGTGTTCTGGCATTCGCCTGGTATTGATCGGAGAACCTATGGAAAACTATCGATTAGAGCAGCCGGCCGCTATAATTCGCTTTCAGACAACGACTGCACTCGACATTGCTATTTAGCCAGTGCCGCAAATCCTGCTATCGTCGAACACTATGACATCCCTGTTAGAGGCACTGTAGTGAAATCAGTCCTTCTAAATCTGGATTCAACTTGTTCCCTTTGATTTCCTCACATGTCCCTCGCTTATCCTTCACCTGAGACCGAATTTTTTCTCATAAACTGCTCAAAACTATCGTCTTTCCTTAGCGAATGATATTCTTATACAATGGATTAGAAACCTTTGTAAACATGATAATTTGTAACTACATTGTAAAGTCTGTCATTTTAAGTCATTTACTTGCTCAACAATGTATACAAACGTATAATAAATACGAAAATAAATGCACAGAATTGTTAAATCATTTTCAAAGTAAATTTAAAGTCGAGGAGATTTCAAGGCGGGAAAATGGTAAAAATGGATTTGAATTTTTTAACTACAGCCCATCAGTTCAAAAAATCTTTCAAAATTTCACAGCAATTTGTGTTTTAAGAGGAACTTCTGAGATTTTCTCGAGTATGTTTCAGGGTTCTAAGGCACAGTAAAAATATTTTTTTGCTGTTTTGTTTCAAAAATATTATTTTGTGTTTGAATTTGGCACTGAAAAATATAAAAACATGTTTTCTGATAGTATAAACTTTTTTTTTGTTTTTAATATTTTTTAATCAGATAAAATAGAGTTTAGTTGACAAAAAAACTCGTTTTTGGCTGAAGAGGGGAGTGGGTGGTGGGACGGGCGCTAAGAAATCTTTCAAAAATATTATTGTTGTCATGTCGTTTGGTTTAGGGGAACATTTTACCCTCTTATCTGAGGGTACCTTTTTTCTCTTTGAAACTTGCGGAAGAATTATGATCAGAGCAAATAAAATACAGAAATCAATCGAGGAAACAAGAAAAAATAATGTGTGCAGGAAGATGGACAGATGGAAGTCGGACGTTCTACAGAATGAAAAAAGAAAATGACAGCTGAAATGTCAAATTAAAACAAACAAGTTCTAAATACAGAAAATTAATCTGAGATTCATGCACATGAAAAATAATAAAGTCGGTAATATGCACTTCAGGTGAATATAATTTAAATTTTGATGGAATAGTAAAACCAATAATGTTATTTATAAGCATATTCATTAGTTTTTCTCGCTGCTGTTGTTAGGAGGTTTTGCACACTATAGGGGCTCTTTGAGCCACCCTTCTCCACCTCGTCTAAATCGACATCTAGTGTTCCGGAATTCCAAAACATCCTTGAATGCTTCGTTTAGAATGTCTATTAACAGTGTAAAATTATAATTATGTATTAACGAAATAAAATTCGCCATATAAAAATATACTATAAATAATAAATTGAAGCTGACTGCTCCATTTTGGAGAGAATGTGAACATTTGAGTTAATTCCATAGGTCGAGCAGATGCTGCAATGAATAAATGCCCCATTGGAAGTTCCGCTGTTAACACTTTCGGGTTCCCAGGTCAGGTGTACAAACAATATGTACTGTATACTTTTTTATATCATGGCAATCCGAATATTTTTGAAACATCTCTCGCAAAAACCGGCACGTATTCGAGTCACGAAGTGTCGCTAATACAAATAGACTGCGGAGGTCATAATGTTTAACTCGGTAATATGCCACACAATTTGTGAACTGCGGTCATACTTGATATTGGTCAACACAGTTCGCGCTCCGAGTTGAATCAGGAATGTCGTTATTTACCCAGCAATTACCTTCATTCTCATAGTTGTGAGTCTTGTTTATACTTGAACAAAGAAAGAATGACATTTGCGCTGATTATTAGCAGGATGCAAAATTTGTTCCGTAAGCACATTCTTCAGGACTTCTGGAACAATTCGTAGTTAAACTGTTGTGAACAAACTGTAGCAAAGCGTTTGTCTGCCAAGTGACATAAATGTTTGTTCTTATTAGTTAATAGACTACCCTGATGCATACGTAATTTAGAATGCGCGCGATAGAATTGTCTCTTGAATTCAAAGATGTTTCCTGAAAATGGCTGATTTCGTGGGCAGATTTGAAATTAAATCACGGTATACCGTGTTTACAACTGCGACAGCTGTCAAATGATAATCACTTCGACATGTCGGGAACAGGCTCGAGCTGATGTAAAAAGAAAAACCTTTCAATCGTGTGTAACAGTAAATGCGCGCACGGCTGTAATGTACGCACGGAATGACTGCAATACTTTGCGCTCATACGCGTTATCATATTCGAATTATCAAAGCGTTGAATTTGAATTCAAATTGTTGTAGCGGCGGTTATTAAATTCTAAATGAAATTTTCTGTCGTACGCACGTAATAAATAAATAAATAAATAAACACGAAACACATATGGATTTTTCTTCGAGGAGCTTTTGATATCAATATTTTATTTGACTATATGTAGTATTATTGAACCACGAAAAAATTATCGTTAAATTTGATTAAATTGAAAGGTGTTTACTTATCTCTTGAGTCAAATACACCTGTTTTTTATAGGATTTTTTGCGAGTACCTAATTACAATTTTTCAGAAATCTCAGGAAGTAATTTGTTGATTGTTCCGATCACACGATCTTAATACTAAATTTTCTATAAAATTTATAGTTACGTATGTTGATACGAAATGTTATATCAAACTTTTTAACCACTACAACCCAATGAGAATGAAACGTTTTAATCTAATAAAGATATAGAAAGGAAATACAATTCTTTTAAATTGATATTTTTATATAGTAATGCATGATTGTCAACAAGTAAAAGAGATGTTTCATTGAAATTTGATATTAATACGACAATCAAATTAACAAAAATCAAACTTACAAAGGAAGTGTTGTATTGTTACAGCAAAAATGGCGATATTTCGACAGAAAACTCGATTTGTGAGCCCATAGTACCGAAAAACTGGTGAACTCGTGCAACTACACGTAGTAAATAATTTCTTATAAAACGTTGTATATCCAGAATGAACGGTTTGGGAATACTTGATACTAAGAACATTGGTTAAGACAAAATGCCTGTCCGTCAACGCTAAGAATTTTGGGTGAGGGGAACTAAGACCAAGGCAATAACGATATTCAGAAAATCGTTCCTTTTATGCAATATCGCAATACTGATTACTTTTATTGCCTCGGGCACATTTATTAAATTAACATTTGTGAAATAAATAAAAATTTACAAACAGCAAGTATAGATTGTAGTAAACATCCGTTTATATACTTACTTTTAAGATTATATTGACAGTTTTTAAATTTGGAATATTTGGTAATGTAGTACTAACAATAAATTCCAAAGGTGCACTCTAGGCGGGAACCCCTGCCCCCTCCAGAAGCCAATGGTACAAATAAAGCTTTAAATAATTTTCTATAATAACGAATGTCATTCAATATAACAACTGTTAACTTTATACATATTAACTATAAGATAACCAAAAAATACATTTTGTATTCAGCGTAAATGAAACATTCCTTATAAGACAACATCAAGTGTACTGGACACTATCACATGTGGTAAAATGCAATGTATGTAATGTTTGACTTTGTGATATAGGATGTACGTTTTTATTAGTGTGAACTGGTTACCGTGTCCCAAGCATGCTCGATAACATTTCATTAAATGTAGAGGCAGCTATACGGGGTGACTTCCAAAGTCTCCAGGCCACTGCGTATCGGTTGTGCACCCTGACGTTCTCTACTCCGGGTTTCTTGCCGAGGCACCGAAACCCAATGAGGAGAATTCGATTTGTCATTGCGTCTCAGCCCTCTGACGTCCCGGATTTCGAATTCCGCTTTCAGATCACTTCGTGGGGCATCCGCCATTTGCTTTTCCGTGCCAACTACGTTTCGAAGGGTTCTTTTCTCTGTTTCCTTCATGTGCTACTGCAGCCCAGTTCTCAACTATTTCCTGAAGATCGACTTTTGTGAGTTATCAATACCTTCGGTTCGTGCTTCCGGGTGCGTTAACTGCAATTGTTATTAGCCCCGTAAGTGTAGTGCATATATTATACCGGGGGTGGCAGCGATCTTCCCCCATTAATTGAGAAGAACCGGTGCCGAACTACTTGTCAGATTGCGGTGTTTTCCCGACTCCAGGAATCTCCCACCACTTGGTCTTCGCACCAGCCGGGAAACAGCTGTAACCTTCCGTCTGGTCTCCTGTCATGAATGGTAGTGTATGCCTGTAAGACTTAAGTATAAGCGTGTTTAAGTAAGAGGTGAGGATTAGGCAAAGAATAGGAATGAAAGATCGCGCGAAGTACGAAGCCCGTTTGTTAGGGTACTACTCCGGCATTCGTCTGGTGTTGATCGTGTTGATCAAGACTCGTGCTGAATGCCGCCGTCGGGACACGAACCCCGAGACCTCCCGGTCAGAGACACTGCAGTGTCACACCTACCAGTGTGATTTATTGAAAAAAAAAACAACTTTCGCATTTAAGTTCTAGTTTTATTTTTTGCTGTCAGTCACAAACTGCCAAATACGGCTAATGATTTAAAAAGATTATATAATGTATTATTAATTAAGAAAGCAGATTCTTAAAGGAAAACTGTTTAAGTCTTGAATTGGTTCATGCAGTTTAGTTTCCTTGAGCCGACATAATTATTCGTATGTAGCACATCCACCATCACTATCGTACGCGGCTGCAGAGGAACAATAGCCAAGCTAGAATAAATAAAAAAAACATCCCACATCTGAGTGCTAGTGCCTGTGTAGTCGTTGCCTTCACTTCATACCAAACATTTTAATTTCTTCGTCGATAAAATGTACACGGTCTGTTTAAGTATTGTATTCACCACTTAACGAAAAATTTGTTGTGGAAAGTTGAAATATTTTCAAATAAATCTTCATTGTACATTGATGTCGCCAATCCAGACATACTTCAATATTATTAAGCAATAATCCGACTGAAAGCTCAGATACGTCTATGGGACCAAGAATGGTTTTGTTATCTGTCACGAAGAGAATAGGTTTTTATTATCGTAATGGGTTTTTCTTATTAGATTTACGACTATCGTCAGAATGTTTGTTATTGATGACTAGGGAGCGGATTCCTATGTTTTTACATATTTTTTTCCGTTGTTTCAGAGCATAGCTAAGTGAAATTCCTTGACATTTAGTTAGTATTGGATGTTATGTAGAGTAACATGTTAGTGCATATTCGTTTTTTCCTATTGGTGCATATTTGTATAACTACAAGTGCCCATTTTGCATATTTCTTTACAATACAGACTTCTCTCTAAAACGTTTCATATTTTCATAGTAACTATTATTTATTTGTGAGTGTTCATTGATTAGAATGAGCTTGTCACAGATTGTGTTTTTTCCCTTTTCTATAGATGATAAAATACTCGTGAAAATGTAGGATATTTTTGATATATATATATTTTTAAACCAAGCAGAAGAACTACACAAAAACATACAGTATACTTCACTAAGGTGAATGTTTACTTCAGTTATTTTTCCCGCGAAGTAAGTTGGTGTACTGTTTGCTCAAAGATATATTTTTTTCAATCAAAGCATGCTTCTCGTGAATTTGACTAAGAAAGGGTTATACAAGGAATGATATATTGTTAATTTGTATTGCATATTAAAGGGCATGTTTCGGATTTTTTGGGTCATAAATGCATATTTTCAATAGCATATTTCAAGATTTTTTTAGGGCATAAAACTTCTCCCCCTATTGATGACTGAATAAGTTTCTTCTACATAGGGACCGGTTGAGACAGCTCAGTGTAACAGCTGTTGCCGCAGCAGAGTCTCCAATCGCGAAGTCCTGTAATTTAAGATCTAATGAAGGCGTATTTTCGACAGAAGCTCTTCAGCTGGGTCGAATTCAGTCGCTGCCTGAGGAGAATCCTAACGGCCGTCCGCCCTAATTAATAGCGAAGTTCCGTAGTTTCTCCGATCAATCCCAGACGAATACCGATGCAGTACCTTAACATCGACCCACAGACCGCCTGTGCTCTTCCTTTTCTCATCATTGACCCCTCCTCTCCCCTTACACACACACACACACACACACACACATACACACACACATACACACACATACACACACACATACACACACACACACATACACACACATACACACACACACTTATATGCAACTCATTGCCACACATATCGGGAAACCAGTGGAGAGCTTAGAGGTCATCCCGGCTGCGAAGTCGACATGAAGGTCAGCATTATATTCGTCGGAGGACAACCGCTGCCTCTTGACTCTAATATGCAGAAAATCACGGGAATAATGCCCAACGTAGTTATAACCCTAAATATTTATTCACTCTTATTAGCAATGCTAGGTTTCAATTCGATTCAACGATGCATTATTGTACGTGGCGAGACTTAGGTCATCAGGTCTGCATTTTTGTATGACCAGAAACGAACGTCGCGCTCGATTCACCATCTAGCGAAGAAAGAGGGCAACAAATCAAGCGAATTTTACTCATAGACTTGATGATCTTTTACATACAGTAAATCTACAACATGGGACATCCAGCTTTACTCCAAAGAAAGGCTCACGGAGGATATTTTTGCCTTCATCTGCCTCTGTGACTCACAGCGACATCACCTCATCCCCCATTACCCCCTCCTGGTTACCACTACCCACCCTGTCTTCCGGGCCCGAGTGGAGCGCCGTCGGCTAGGCTGTGGGGCGAGACAGTGGTCGGCACGATGCATCTTTCATGCGATTCGACTGTCCTGCGCGACGTCCAAAGCCCACGCCAAGCAGCCGTACAGTGGGCCTACAGCGATCAATAAGCGTTTCAAACAACTTTCAATTGATTGATTGAATAGTGATTCCGGGTGCGTCAACTGTTAAGCATGGCCATGTGTTTTCTTCGGGAAGTAGCAAACTATCTACTCTTCTGGACGGACCTACCGTCGGCTAACAGAGTTTCCTATAACCAGGTATATCCCACCAAGTGAGGATAAGCTCTAAGCTCCCGGACGCTCTCACGACGTATGTGGTAGTGTTGTGCATGTACGTGTGCGTGTGTGTATGTGTATGTATGTGTGTGTGTGTAAGTAATGGAAAGGGTAGATCAAGGAATGGGAAGGACAGAACGCCCGTGGTACGTGGCCTATTTGTTAAGGAACTGCTCTGGCATTCTCCTAGTGTTCGGAGAAACCACTGAAAACTACTGATGAAAGCAACCGGCCGCTAGGTTTCTTCCCCAGAGAGCGACAGAACTCTATTTGGCTAGTGTCGAAACTTCTGCCACCGTCGGGACTCGAACCCTGCGACCTCCCGGTCGGACGCACTGCCGTGACGTCAGTTGATGCCCTGAGCCATCTAATCCGGTACAATGACTCTCAAGAGAGATGCGAAGACTGCATTGTCACACTGTTTCAACAATGCGACTCTGCATTGTCGCACCTTTTACTTCGCAGGGTTCAAATCTTCGAAAATAACACAAGAAAATGTTATCGTGAGATTCGAAAGTAACAATAAAACGTGTCGAATTTAGAATTATGTCACCTTTATACGCAGCAGAAGGAATTGGAAACTAAACAGCGTTTGTGCGGGCATCAAATTTCGTGTAATTGGTGGTAACAGCTAGTTCGTGGGGATACCTAAGCAAAATGCTTTGTTCGTAATTGACAGTATGGGTATAAATGTATACCAAAGAGGTTATAATTTTCCCTTTCTCGGGGAACTCTAATAAAGAGGGCGCATGTCGGATATTCGTTGAATTATTCAAATATCCGAATGTTTCGAAATTTAAAAAAATCGGCGCCTTTCCACAACTAGAATATTGAAGATAGATGTTTTTCATCATAATGAATTGATTCTTTAAAATTAGATCTTAAAATTAAGTCGTGTAAGATTTTTCAAAATTTGTGTAGTTTTGCGTAATTTTGCATGAAATAAGACAACCTTATCCAAAATCACTGATTTTTTCCTTCTGATTTTTATAGAACTCTGCAATTAAAAGTTTCATTGTGTTCTTTCATCGTTTTGAGCATTACAAGTGGTCGCTGCGCCGCACTCAGTGCCACACATTTGCTATGATGCAATAGCGTTGTTGTTGACGCTCGTTTCCGGTATATCTCGTGTATTCTCTTTCGAGTTTATGTAACACGTGTGTATCACACGTTAGAAGCGTTCTCATCGCTTTCAATCGTGAACGATGCACGAAGTTAGAAGTACGGTCGGCTCCTGTATACGAATCCAGTTGACGTGATGCAATAAATAGTGACTTTACCAAATCGGTATATTGCAGGAAAACTTATGTTAACCGGAGCAAAGCTGTGATTTCGTTCACAAGGGTAGTGTTTTGCTGCATTGGGAAGGGGGGGGGGTTCCATAAATTATGCAACTCTAAAGAGGCGGAGGGAGAAAGAGGGTTTGAGGCAGTGTTACACTGCGTTACATAGGGGTAGAGGAGCGTTAGCTTACTATTTGACAATTTTGATTTTTTATTATTTTTATTTTTCAACATTTTTCTGAAATAATACCTTTTATTCAATCACACACTGAAATATTAAGATATTAACAAGTTAATTTAAATAATAAAACGAAATTGTTATATAATGGTTACAATAAATGGAAATCTTTTTTATATATGATACAATACATTGATTGAATCTGTTAGATTAAGAAGAAAAAAAAATCAAAATTGATCTTGGTGCATTATAAAATCCAATTAAATTGGTACAATGGTCCCCTGCATATGCATCATCACAACGATGAATGCATGGCTGGGCTGAAATTGTTTCGTCAATGCATCTTTCTTTCACTCAAACCATTCATTCATTCTTATTGTTAGGTTATTATCATCTAATTCTAATATTCATAAATTTTAGTATATAACACAGATAATATTAACACATTTTTTAACTTTCTCACTATGGAGTAGAGAACGAAAATGTAGATAAATTCAGTTGCTAAATTTAGAATTAAATTCTCTAGCGCGTAGAGTAGAAAAAATCGATAGTTTGTGGGTCCTTGATACCGAAAAATCGAATAACAAAACGTCCGTCCGTCAGTCCGAAGATCCGCCCAGCGATCTCTCGCACCATGTCAAATACCCGTGACGTCACAAAGTTATTTCGCAAAATTAAGTTTGATTATCTTCTAAATTTATAATGCAGTTTCACAAAAAACATGCGTACGCAACTCGTTTATAATGTTGCTTTATTGCATTCGTACGAATTAGAAAACTCGCTCCTGACGTCCCTCGCTTTTAAAACATATACTGGAGCAATAAAACGTAACATTATAAACTAATTGTATAAACTACTATTATATTACTACATTTAAAAAAAGTATCGTGAAAAATACTACGAAGCTTCTCCTACTGGGGGCAATTGCCTCCTCTGACTTCATGCCTATGCGTCCACTTGTCCTGGGCGCTGAGCCGCAGGACAGCCTCGTTGCCAGCATCTCATTCCGAGCGTGACCTGACCGGACGGGCGACGTCGCGTCGACGCCAATGAGGTCTGTCAGCGGAATGGCGCTGCCGGCGCTGCTCGCCGCAAGAGCCCGGATTGCGCCGGGCGAGCGCCCCGCCTCGCGACAGGCACGGCCGAAGGATTTCTAGCGCCCGCACGAGCACGAGCTACTTGCCGGCCTGGGGAGGAGCCCGGCGCTCCTACGGCCACCGGCGACTTCCCCTCACTCCGCACACATTTCCCCTTAAAATCCTGAAAGCGCAAGCTGGAGAGGCGCGAGGCGGGGAATAGTGGCTTCACATGAAAATATTTGACGTGGTTCTATCAAATAACAGAGAACTGTATTATGTTCATATTTTGCACTACTTACCACTATTTGATGTGATCTTTTTATTTACTTACCAAATCCTTTCTTATATAAGCAACTTTGCTAAGTGACAGCAAAATGTTTGAATAGTAAATTATTTTCTCGTTTTTGTTTTGTGTTATTAAATCATTCAGCTTTTCATTCTATTTAACATTAATGTAAAATAAATTAACATGTCTTTATAAGTTAACAATTCTCAATTACGAGCACACGGCGCTTTTAACGGACGAGAATATTTTTCTGTTAAACCTTCTTACTTGAACGTACAAAGTTCATGCTTTTATATCACTCTTAAGTAAACAGGATTACGAAATCAAGACAATTTTGATTCAAACTTACAATTTGATTTCAACTTTACAATTTCTCTCTCAATTGAGAACTTAAAATAGGACTGGTGTATTATTTAATTTTAATGGATATTGTTTTTGCCTTAAAGAGAAAATGGATATTAATATAGCTAATTGTGTGACGATAACTGACAAGTAACTTCTCTCAAAGACTATCAAAGAGCCAGGTATCCAGTAACGTACCACCACTGCGTAGCGTTTGTACAACCCTTTCTTTTAAATCTGGCGCCAATTTCCCTGGCAGCAGCGCTTGCGAACTCTAGTAAGCTTGTTAGCTTGCCTGCAACCTTGACGTGCCTGATCTTGCGCTTCCGTCAGATTAGAAAGCTCACTCTCACATTAGGACATTTTCCCAATAACATCACTAGATATTAACCCGTGTCTGAATTGTATATCTCGAAAATAAATATTGGCAGTGATAAATGTAAAGAAATAAAGTTCTGCTCTCAGACTTAGAATGCGAAGAACGCACTAAGATAAGCTCAAAGAATTTAAGGCAAGAATAGTATTAGCTAATGTCGCCTTTCAGAACATGAAATGTTACTTTAGAAGTGAGACGAAATATGTTTCATAAACATTTGAGATATGATAAATATCTTTATTTCTTTAGTAAACCCTTAGGGTGCAATAAAGAATCCCCCAAAATCGGCAAACCAATGTTTTACTTTACAATGTTTTTTTGTACTTACTCCGACCAAATCCTTTAAACAGCATTTCCTAATAAACCTTTATTTGTGGATAATCCTAACGTATGCTTGTGAAACGAGATCATTGAAAAAAGGATTAAAATCTAAATATGGAACTGCAGAAATGAATTCAAGGAGGCAGATTACGAGAAATAGTGGACATGTACTGAAATCTAACGATCAGGTGCAAAAAGAAATTCACATTAAAATGGAGAATAGTTTAATGTAATTCGAAAGAGAGGAAATAGAAAATCATTGAACATTTGATCATTGGACACATGACGCGCTATTCTACATCTTTGAAGAGACATAGCAAAATATTGAGATATTGAAAATGCATTTTCCTTAAATAAGACTAAATTAACTATAAAACGAAGAGAATGGTTGAGGACTGGCGACTAGAACACAGTGACAAGGCTATATATTTTGTAGATTATAAATCGGTCTGACATTTTTTTTAAATAGGTTACCAGCAGCGCACTGCTACCTCCGAATCAACTCAACAACACAAAAAATGCTTAAAAACAATTAGACTATCCAACGCAGCAAGTATATAAAATATTTAAGATAGTAAACGTAGTGATTAACATTAATTACTTCTACAAAAACAGCAAAACATGTATAAGTAATTACGTGTAATCCGTATTTGCGAAGATGATTTGCAATCTCTCTTCCACCATTAGAATGTAGAATGTAATTAAATAAAGAAACAGGTCTGATTGTAGGACATTGTAGGAATTTCGGCCCAAGCATATACAATTCCTCTATAAAAAGAATACATATCTTGTTAAAACGAATAGGTTCAATTTGAAAAATTAATTATATACATTACTATTGCAAACCTGTAGTTAATTTATGTAATATTTTTATAAGGTTTGAACCTTGCCACATTAATGTAAAAATGTTATTGAAGTCTTTTTCTGTCAAATTGTCTATCAATATTGAGTTTTCCAATCAGTTAATTATTTTTTTTGTTTATTTTTAACTATTATTTCTAGAATTATTGATGTCATTACTCCCTAGCAGTAGCCCTGTCTTCTACGGGAGTGAACTATTGTAAACTCATGCATATGAATGTAAGATGAAAAGAAATAACTCAGTAAATTATTATCATTATCATTATTAATACTATTTACTTTATTATAGATTTTATTGTTATTTCCACTTTATTGAGAAATAATGTTTGCCGCAAAGTTTGAATTTACCGCGGCAGAAACCTACGCCATTCGCACGTACAACTTATACCTCCAAAACGAGAAATGTGAAAGGTTTTGCTTATTATTTTTTATGTAACTAGAAGTAGGTAGTTTACGTAACAAGATTTCGCATGAGCCGAGAAAGGGATTACCTCGCGCCCGTGTTGCATATACACTATTTTTTAACACGCCGTGAGCGAAACGCTATGCGTTAAGTAAAGAAATATAAATTAAACGTTAAATAAGCAGAAATACCTTAGTTATACAAAAGTTAATGGATAAAAGTTAGTGTCATAACATTATTGTTTGTAAATAATAAACAAAGACATTGTCAAGACGAAAGACAATAGCGAATCGTTACAGATGTTTCGCACAGGGAAAAGAAGCACGAGAAACTGCGTTTTGCGCGCGGCGTGTTAAAAATATTGTTTATTTACGATTTAATGATGTCCTCCGCATAACGGATATACACATTATGATGTCATGTTGATTGACGTTTCTACTTATATGTGTTAATTCTTGGCTCATTTTCAAAAGCGAGAAACTACGTAGCGAAGTAATTTATGACAACCGAACTGTTGCTACAGGAGCTCATGAGAAGAGAGGTTGTAATGCTCACTGCCCGCCGTATTGCGGTTGATGCAGAAGCTTTTAATCGGCTCTGGCTTGCGACATTAGAAACAGTAACAGCTGCGGTGATACATTTTTGATCGCATTGATCTTATTATTGATTTCTTTGAATGAAATTATGTGTTTATAGTTACGGAGAATGCTAGCACAGTGATCCATTGGAAATCACTCTGAGGAAAAAACGTATTCTAGCTTCCCCCAAAAGGGAATCAATTCTCCGTACAAGGGTTACTTCTTTGCTTTTGCAACGCCTTTTCCTCAATCACCTGCTGTGTGCTTTTACAACGATAAATACATATATTTTTCCTCACCACATTTTCGCTTTCTCCCTTATTCCTTGTCGTCCCTCCTCTTCCACTATCCACTCCACGCCTTTTCCTCAATCACCGCCTGTTTTTCTCTTTCACGTCCTTTCCCCTTCAATCTCTCAGGCCTCTCTTACCACTTCTTTCTCTGCATTGTTCTCCATCTCTCTATTGTATATCATAAGGGGATATCTAATTATTTTCTATGAGCTCTGTATGTGGTTAAACTCCTTGATCAATGTTAGTGATGTGACGCAGGAAGGATTGTCCCCACAACGCCATCAGTGTAACTTTTTGCTGAGTAATACAGTGGAAAACTCGATTCGCTGATTTAGGCAAATGGCGCACAAATGTGATATTTCCAGTATGGTGCGCCAGAATGAACTGATAACGTTCGCACTCACACTAAGATAAGAGTTCAGTTAAAAGATACTTTCACACTAGCGAACGCGCGTACACCCACTCGACACTCCCATTCCCACTCCTCCACACTCTAGCTTTATATGTATACACACTCACTCTGTACACAGACACTCTTCTATTCACTACATACTCACTACGATTCACTCTACACATACACCCCCACCACATATTCACTCCCATTCACTCTACTGATGCCCCCCCCACCCACTACACACACACATTCCCACTCCCACCACACATCTCCCCCTTCACCTCCTGACTCTAGCACTCTCTCTCACCCTCTCTCACCCTCTCTTCCTCTCACTCTCTCTCTCGCCCTCTCTTCCTCTCACTCTCTCTCTCGCCCTCTCTCTCTATCTCTCTCTCTCTCTCTCTCTCTCTCTCTCTCTCTCTCTCTCTCTCTCTCTCTCACACACACACACACTCACACACTCACACACTCACACTTGTTCAAATGGACACGCGCGTGTGCTTTAAAGTTGTTAAACTATAGTGTACGTATACTCTGTTGTACGGAAATTATGTAATGTGAAGACTTTTAAAGCCGTTAAAAGCATTGTTGGTTATGTACATGCATGATCTTGGAGAGGGCGCCTCGTTATATACCCTGGGGCGGACTGTTCTTGGACTTCTGTTGCGCACACAGACCTTCAAAATACGGACAACCACGAACGCGTACATAGAAGACGATCACCGTATGCAACAGCTCAGACGCAATACTTTTGCCTTTGCAACATCGTCGTCAGAGAGGTCCTAGGGTTTGAGTCCCGACGGTGGATAATTTTTGACACTAGCTACACAGCTAGGTGGAATTAAATCAGTCTTGAGGAGAATTTTTGCAGTCTGCTGCTCAGACAAGTCGTTTTCTATGCTTTCTGTGATCAATACACGGCGAATGCTGCGCGGGACACGGATCGCGTGTCATAGTTTCTTCCTCTTCCTTGTTCTACACCTTATTTTCACACTCGCTGATACGTACTTCAGTACCATACCTGTCTACAGTGGCGAAAATACTCGTAAGGTCGATCGGACGTGACGCCGGAGGAGGGACCAGCAAAGGTGGCTCAGGGCATTAACTGATGTCAGAGCAGCGCCTCTGACCGCGAGGTCCTAGGGCTCCACTCCTGACGGGGGCAGGATTTGCAGTAGCTTGAAATTTTGACACTAGCTTATCAGCTAGGTCAAACTCAGCTACTGTCTAGAGGAGTATTCTAGCGACCGGCTGCTCTGATCGGTAGTTTTCCGTGGTTTCCCCGATCAATACCAGGAGAATGCCGGAGTAGTACTTAAACAAACGGGCCACAGACCGCGCGCGATCTTACATTCCTTTTCCTTGTCCTATCCTCATCCCCTTACACACCCTTACCCTAAAATGCACTATAGTACCACATATGTCATCAGCTTAGAACTTGTCTCGGCTGGAGCAGTGCAGCGTTGGGGGAGACTCCTGGGGGACCTCGTAACGTGCCGAGTAGATCGGCGCCGGATCAGAGGGAGGAGGTTAACACACTTCTCGATAAATGACAAGCGACACTTACTATTGATCTAACGACCGCGGAAACTAGTGCTCATTCTCCTACCCGAAGAAAATCCGAATCCCGTGTGTTTCGGTCGTGACGGTTTTACCCGTAGCGTTGTAGACACTTCGCTCGTACGAGTAAAAGGCAAGGGGCAAAAATGACACGTACGCTTTCGCGGATGTGGTCCTTCACTCTTTGTACCGAGGCGCCTTTGTACCTACCTGTCGAAGGGCCTGTGGCGCGGCGCGGCGCGGCGCGGCGGGGCGCGGCGTCGATGTCGAAGGGCGAAGTGAAGGGGCGGACGAGTGGCCGCGTCGGCTAGTTCTCTGCTCCACCTGACAATAGAGCCCCACTTTGTGCCATCAAAGTCTGTTGTTGGGGATTGGAGTTTCTCAAACATCGACGTAAATAGAAAATGATGACCCAAGAGAAATGTATTAAACTGGTGAAACTAAATTTTAGGTATTTATATAGAATGGACCCGTAATGTTTTCGCAATCGCTATTGGATTCATATTTTTTACTTGAATTAAATATTTAACTGTAGTTGTTTTAGGTGGTTGAACAGAGAAAAAAGCCAAAACCAACAAAAAAAACTGTTCAAAACACTTTTAGAACGAACAGTGGGGTTTCCTCTCTTTAGTGACGTACTGTAACTTTTGATATAACCCGGATAGTTATTGTTTTGTAGTTAGTGATAATAGTAATCGGAAGGTCGGTATTACGAAACGTTAAAAACTGCTTCAAGAGGTAAAACGGCAAGATTGCGTAAATAAAATGGGAGTAGACTGTAACGACTGCAGCCGTAGTACAATAAGAATAAAGTGTACATAGTGTCGCACGCGGTTTACGAGTATTAAAATATAGAAATGTAATCAAGCGTACATTTAACATTTTTTACGAATTGTAAACTTGTCATGCTAAACTTATGCCGCAGATATTGAGAATCTAAATCACATCTCTGAATTTGCAATTTGCCGAGAGGGATGTCCTGGGTGTTGTAGGCTAGGGCAGTAATTTTTTGGAACTATTTTCTAGAAAAGGATTAGCGCTCTGGGTATTATCGAGGAAGTTTATTTTAATATGACAATTGTACATGAACAATTTTCTTTAAATTTAAGAGGAACCAGTATACACTTTATCGTAAGTAAGAGATTGTTTAATATGACACTTTCTGATCGTAAGTAACAACCGTTTTTGAAATAAAGATCGCGTATTAAAGTTCAACTTGTATTTAAATTAACACTCATAGAATTGTCTAAGTCAAACACCGTATAATGGTATTGGCAATCAAATGGTTTTCCTTACATACATTTCTGAAATTTAAAAGTTATGAATGAAATTGATAAAAACGTGTTTCCTTAGCTTCTGACGTTATGGGCCATTTTAGACCTTCTTGAGAGCTAAATTTTTAAATACAATTTTTAAATACATTTTATAATAAAAATTATAAAATGTACATTTTCCGTTCATACATTTTATTTCGAAATGGCCGTAATTAAAATAAATTACATCACTAACCTTCATGATGCCCAGACACCCAACGCTCCAGCCAATACCGACTACGGGACAGTACAATTGGACCGTCTGTGAACACGGGTGTTTGTACGAGATTTGCTATTGTTGAATTTTAAAATAATAGAAAAGCCTTACGAGAAGGGATTTTTAAAGTCTGTAAGTACTTTCAAGTTGACTGATCTCTGAATAGTAAACTGTTAATTCCTGAAAAGCCACGTATCTGAATTAGTTTTAAGTTAATTTACTATTCTTTTTTATTAAAGAGGTTAAAAAGGTCCTTAATAGAGAATATAATGATGGTATATCATCTTTTTATAACGTAAATATTTTTAACATTTTTAAATTTACTCTTCTAGGCGATCGGGGCAATTGTACATGCTCCTGGCGGCGGTACCGCTAACTATTTGTCTCGACGTAACTTACTTTTAATTTTACTCAAATTGGAATATAATAAAGTCAAAATTACATACGAAGATAAACTTAATCCATTTGAGAAAGATATCTTATTCACTTCTATATCGTCGCGCATGAAGTAATTTCATCGTCTTGTAGATGAAGTATCTCTTTGTCGTCCTGTATATTTAATTACTAGTTCATTACTATTGCATTTGACTCATAATTAGAGGTGGTAGGTTTTAACAATTGCTAAAAATGCGAAATGTTTTCAAACGCTGAAAAAATTTCTAAGGTTTTCAATCTGCGATACAATGTGAAACCACGTACAAAGTATGAAATGGTCGCGATATAAACGCTAAATTTAATTTTATAGTTTCTTTCGTGTTTGATCTCTAAATAGGAATGCAACATCGACAACACATCGATGTTTCACAACATTTAATAAGACAATGTCCAACAGTGTGGAATCTGGACGATTTTTCAGTTAATATACGAGTAGTTTAAATGCCACTAGCAGAAGAAATAGATTAAAGGAACCCAACATTGAAATTTACTATTAGTTCAATTTCAACTGATTGTGATTGGTATTGATAAAAGGTACATGTATAAATTGATTTCATTAAACAAAATACATGACATTTTAAAATAATGTGTTGTTTTAATAAGAATTTACAAATTGCAAGACAAACATTTACCTCCCATTTACCTCATTTCAATAGCATTATTCATTAGCATTCATTAGCACAGCCTGTAGTTCTGTATAAGACGGGAATCATTCTTTGGATTTTAAATTACTTCTTCAAATATTTGTTGAAGTTCACAAATGGTAAAATATTAAATTAGTTTTCCTTATTTCATGACTTTAATGAGAAATTCTGAAAAGTATGTATATATTCTTTTATGTCCCTTAAAAACAATTTTCTTAACAAATACTACAAAATACTAAATATTTATTTTCAATATGCATATGAAATGCTACAGCCTTTTCAAAATGCAATATTAAAAAAAATAAAGTGGTAAATTTTACTTCACTACTCGTGAGGTGTCAAATTCAACCGTCGAGTAGTTATTCAGTTGGGAGTTTTTGCATGTCTTAGCTGTCAGCAATCGACTACTATGTCCATCTTCTGCGCATGCGCAAATGCACTAAAGTGATGCGAAACTTGAACTGCGCACGCGCAGAAAATCGATAGTGCTCTCGAAGGTTCGAGGGTGCAAAAACTTCTTAATACTGTCACAAATGTTGTGGCGCGTTGGTTCCCGACCGCTGCCGTCTCGCATGCAGCAGCCTTGACCGGCGGCGCCGTGGCGCTGCTGCTGCTGCTGGACCTTGGCCTTGACGGGGTGCGTCGCGCTGCTGGCGCGGCCTCTGACGCAGTCGCCCGCGCCAAACCCCTCTCCCACCCTCCCCATCCCCACCTTTTCACCCTCTTGCGGGCCAGCGCCCCACTACTCCCGGGGACTGGCTGTCTACTGCGTTCTCGACCACGGACCTTTCAACTATTCACCCTCACCACTGCGCGCGTCTGTTCCTCGCCGCGCGGCCCGCCACGCCCCGCCCACCGTGGCGCGCGCCGCCCCAGCCGCGCACCGCGCCGCCACGCCGCCACCGCCCACCGCCGCCGCCACCGCGCCACCCCCCCCCCGCGCACCGCCGCCCACCGCCACCCCGCCCACCCCCCCACCACCACCCGCCACCACCCTTCCTCTCCCGCAGCCACACAAATGCCATTCGCCCTCGCCTCCGGCTCGCCCTACGCCACACCCCAGTTGCTTATGCGCTATCCCCAGCCCCAGCCTGTCTCAGCTTCTGGCCCCTGTCCTGACCGTGTTTTCCGTCGGATTCAATACCAGGCGAATACCGGAGCAGTACCCTAAACGCACCGCCTCGCGTCAATCTTTACTTCCACTTCGTTGTTGTATCTTCAACCCTTACTTAGACATACATGCACTACACTGTCACACATGCGGGAAGCACCGGACGGAACTTAGTATGCCCTGGCGGGATGGTGCTTCGCTAGGGGAGATACCTGGTTGAAGAAACCCCGTTAGTGGTGGGAAGGGTCATTTCCGGATCTTGCCATCCAGGGGGAAGATCACCGCCACCTCCCGAGGAAAAAACATGTACCACACTTACGGGACTAATGACATAAGCAGTTTCCGCTCCTGGAATCAATTATCAATCAATCAAGCTTCTGCCTTCACTACAACCCCTTTTGCCACTGTGCTTTCTCGCCTACGACAGCCCCCTTCGTCTTCGTCTCCGGCCTCGCCTGTGCCTCCACGCCTCTCCCAGCAGTGCCTCCACTCCCCTTGCTCCCACTCCACGTCACCGCTACCTCACACTACGCACTTCAGATCTACTACCCCCGCCTCCACTCCAGCCTTGTCCTATACCACTGCTTTCGCATTCACCTTTGTCTCTGACCCACTCCATCCCATTTCCCCTTGAGCTCTTCTTCCCTAACCGCTTGTCTTATTTGCTTGTCCTCCTCCTTCCTCGTTCACACCTCTTTCCTCTCAAGTCTGTTTACTTTAGCACGAAAATTATGAAATTAGCAAACATCAAATGAAGTTGTGCATGTAAAATTATGCACGACGTCTTTTCGTGAGCGAAACAGAAATGTATAATTAATGATCAGGTTTGCATATTCATATTAGCAATGACACATCTTTAAAAATACGCTCTTCCCCCTGAATCGTTATAATAAATGAGGAAATTTATCACAATAGAAAGTAATTATATACGCCAAATGTGTTCAGGCAACTGCTTTCATTCCCTATTCAATTTAAATCAGTAATCGGGTTAAATATTCAGAGCAACGATTCTACTTTTTACAACCTCACAAATGAAATTACTTTCTACTTAAGTCGTGAAGCGGCCAGACTTTGTTACATTTATTACGATTTATTGTGGATGTATTTAAAAATTTGTTAGAAAATGTTAAGGTTTAAGTAATTTTTTTTAAAATTCCACGAATTATTCTTCGATCGTGTCTTAGTTTTGACTTTGCTGACTCCTCTTCCTCCATCGCTGTTAAAGCTCTGGAAACTTTGAGTCATCTCCTTTTCCTTTGCATGCACTTTTGTCTTTTGTTTATTCCATCTTGAATCCCTAATTGGTTTCCAGATACCGTTAATGTTGTTCTCATGTATACGTTTCGTCTAATTTACCGTTTTTATTTTTCCTGCTTGTTATAATTGTCCCTTTCTTTGAATTCTTCTCTTCATTTTCATAACCTTTGTCATCAAACTCCGCCACTGATTTCCATTGCTTCTCTTCACTAGCTCTTCGCCTTTTCTTCTTATTTTTTTTCTTCCAATTCTCCTATTTGTTTACTTTATTTTCACTTCCGATTACGCTATTTCTCTTTTTATAATCCTAATTTTTACTACTATCTGTCAGCAACGCAGCTGCAGTTATGGGAGTGAGGACAGAACGTAGGTCCATAAAAATCCTTTGCTTAAGATACCACTCCAAAATGTACCTCAAATTTCATGAAGAATCCACGGAAAGGACCGAACAGAGCAGTCTCTAGAATTTTCATACGCGTTGTCTTCTGCCCAGCGTCTTCGCCGGCATCGAAAATCATCCATCGTCTGCATTGAAACTCGGAACACCCAAACTACGATACTTTATTTGTGAACAACTAAAGGTGTCCTACTAGAAGGTGTGAATTATTCATTTTCCTTGTAAATATTTCAAGGATTTCGTTTATATTTTTTCGTAATTATGTACTGTTGTACAGATATAATGAATAGGGAATTGGCAAGCCACTCTTGACGGCCGGCGTTCGTTAAAATTTTAAGTCCGCCATCTTGTAAGAACGACGGAAACGAATGAGTTGTAGTAATTCTATTCCAAGAAAAAATACATTTTTAATTTTTTATGATCTTTTTATTATTCGAAGGTGATGTAAAGTAAAGTGTTGAATGACACACGATCGATATCACAAATAACGGACGCTGTTGGAGTAAGAAAAATGGAACGTTAACGGAAGTTAAAAAACGGGAGTGGTCTTACAATGCATACTGCGTAAGTTGGCCAAAGCGAATATTTTCGAAGCGATATATATGGTATCTGGATGTAGTTTGCACCTAACCATTGTAGATGAAGGGGAAGTAATATTTTTTCGTTTCCTTGTTTGTAACATTTTTAATCTTCTAAATGTTGATACATCTTTGATGTTTTGAGTGCAAATTTTTTTTCCGCTAGCATTCTGAAGATTTCTAAGAGACGAATTTCTGTGTTATTAATATTTGAAAGAAACTCAAAAAATCTCAGAATAAACTCACTTTGCTCAACTCTTTCCCGGAAGGCGAAACCAGACGGTCCTTCACAGGCGTGATAGCGCTCCGCTCCCTAGTTAAAAATCGAAATTCATATTTCGTTTTTACAGTGTAACTATAATTATTTTTGCGCTTTATTATTATTATTATTATTATTATTATTATTATTATTATTATTATTATTATTATTATTATTTTTATTTTATTCGCGTATGGACTACACGCAACGTGCGTACTGACTACACGCAACACATTTCTCTCTGAGGTCCAGTTGTATTCTATCCTGGTGAGATCAAAGTGTGGAATTATAGGGATCAGCCTTTCGGCTGCATCCATTGGTTAAGACAAGGTTGTTAGCCTGATTATCAATTAGGGACAGATATTATTATTATTATTATTATTATTATTATTATTATTATTGTTATTATTATTATTATTATTTATTGGGTGATGAGTAAAATAACTAGAAAGGTGGTAAGATGTGTCAGGTGAGGTGGTGGGAGGTGGGAGATGTTCGTAGGATGTTGAAACCATCCCAGAATTTGCTTTGTGACCGAGGGAAACCACGAAAATCCCCGTCATGGTAGCCGGCCCGGAGATCGAACTCGAACCTCCGGATTGCGAATCCAGCGCGCTCCGCCCAGAGCCACTTTGCTCGGCCGTTTCACTTTATTGCATTAATCTCCTTACTTAAATATCTTCATACCTTTCTGTATATGCTTTGTGATTACTTAGACTACTAAACTCAGTCTCTGATAATAACTCGGATAAAAGGAGAATAAAATGTGTTCCTATTGGACAAAGGAATTCACCTGTGATTAATCAATTAAAATGAACAGAAGGCCAAACTGCCACTTAACTTGGAGTAATTGATAGGGTTTTTCGGTGCGTCAGCTTATCGTCAATCCATAAGTGTTGTCGTGTTTTTATTGCGGGAGATCAAAGTGTTGTTCTACCGCTGGATGGCGGGATTCCGGGATATTCCCCATTCAGGTATATCCCACCAGCGGGACAGCGTTCTACCCAGAACAAGCTGTAATTTCCGAATTGGTCTCTCAACATGAGTAGTAATGTAGTGCATTAAGTGTGAGTAAATAAAGGGTGAGAATAAGACAAAAAGAGAAAGAAAAGATCGCGCGCGTTCCGTGGCCCGTTAGTTTGGGTACTACTCCAGCATTCGCTTGGTGTTGATCGGAGAAACCATGGAAAGCTACCGATCAGAGCAGCCGTCCTCTAGAATTCTTCTCCAGACAGCGGCTGAATTTGACCTAGGTATGTAGAAAATGAAGACAATAGTGCCACCGTCGGGAAGCGAACTCTAGGACCTCCCGGGTAGAGCCATTGCAGAGACATCAATTAATGCGCTGAGCCACCTCATCCAGCACTTTACTTGGATTCGCTCGTTCGCATTATAAAATAAATTTGCTCTTCCTACCACCTACCGCACAGTGAGACAAGCTGTAGAGGTCCTCTCCCCTCTGCCTGTCCCTTCCCGCGATGCGCCGCGCGCCTTGCGGGGGAGGGGGGGGGAGAACAAGGTCGTCTGACGCAGAGGCTGCCGCCCCCGCGCGCCTTGCAGCAGCCGCAGTGTCCTCTGGAGCCTGCCCAAGAAGTCTGCCCCGCTCCTCGTCCTTTCGTGTCTCTTCCGAAGCCCATTTCGTACCGGTTCTTGGCGGAACGAATTTACGCGCTCATGTGGTCTATTCAAAAGGGATTCTGGAAGTGCGGTTCGCGCAGAATTCTTAAGAGGAGAAAAGACGTCATGCCAAAAGTATTAAATTAAATTAAATTAAATTAAATTAAATTAAACATACGAGAAACTAGATTACAAGCAGATATAAACTAAATTCGTTACCTTTGCAGTATTGTTCCTGGTAGAAGAATTATACTAGTAGTTCCGTTAAGACTAGCTCAATGCGATATTGATTTTTACCAAAAGATGTTAACTTCTATATTTAATATTTTATTTTATATTTACGTTACTAGTGTTAACGATGATATTTGTATTTAAGAGTATAACATTTATTAAAATTGAAATCCCTCTCGTTTAGTCTGAAGCTGTACCTGGCTATAAGCATTTTCAAACTACCTATTGCAGAAATAGTATTTATTATTATTATTATTATTATTATTATTATTATTATTATTAATCGAGCACTACCTACAATGTTACGACGGTGAATCTTTATTCCACTTCTTGTTTTATCTTTCAGCTACTTAACTACATGCACTACTGTCAATGCCGGGCCGCGGACTTAGGCTTGCCCCTGGCTGGGGTTGGTGTTCGTAGGAGAACATACCTGGTTGAAGAAAACCCCCGTTAGTCGGTGGAAGTCATTTCCGGATTTGCCATCCAGGAGAAGATCACCACCTACTCCTGAGGAACAAACATGCCCGCACTTACGGATAATAATAAACAGTTTCGCTCTGAATCATTATCAAATCAATCAGCTTCGCCTTCACTAAGCCCTATGCCACTGTCTTTCTCCGCCTACGACGCACGCCCTTCGTCTTGTGTCGTTCGCGCCTTGTCTGTCCTCCACGCTCTCCCATTCAGTGCCTCCATCCCCTTGTCCCACTCCACGTTCACCCTACCTCACACTACGCACTTCAGATCTCTACCCCGCCTCACTCCGCTTGTCACTATACCACTGCTTTGCCATTCACCTTTGTCTCTGACCCACTCATCCATTTCCTAGCTCTTCTTCCCTAACCGTTGTCTTCATTTGCTTGCTCCTCCTCGTTCTCGTTCACACTCTTCTCTTCTCAAGTCGTTTCTTAGCCAAAAATTATGAAATTAGCAAACATCAATAATGTGTGCTTTAAAATTATGCCACGACATCTTTTTTCGTGAAGCGAACAGAAATGTATAATATATGATTAGTTTGCATATCGATTAGCAATGACAATCTTTAAAAAAATTACGCTCTCCCCCTTAATCGTTATAATAAATGGAGTAATTAGCACAATAGAAGTAATATTATACCAAATGTGTTCACCAACTGCTTTCATTCCTCTTCATTTAATCCGTTATCGTGCGTTAATATTCAGCACAATTGTACTTTTTACAACCTCAAATGAGAATTATTTTCTACTTAAGTCGGAGGCACAGCTTATTGTTACCATTTGTTTACCGATTTTGAATGTATTTCAAAAATTTGTTGGAAATGTTCAGTTTTTAAGCATTTTTAAATCTTCTAGAATTATTTTGTCTTCCCTTAGTTTTTACTTGCTGTCTCCTCTTTCTCCATATCAGTTAAAGCGTGAAACTTTAAGTCACTCCTTTTCTTTGCATGTACTTTTTGTCTTTGTTTTTCCATCTTGATCTAATGGTTTTCAGATTACCTATGTTTTCTATGCTTCTTTCGTTCAATTACCGTTTTATTTTTTCCTGCTTGTTATATATTCGTCATTTACTTTAATTTCCTCTTCAGTTTCATACTTGTCACCAAATCAACTCTGCCACTATTTCCATCGCTTCTTTCGCTAGCTCTTCCCTTTTCTTCTTAATTTTTTTTCCATTCTCCTATTGTTACTTATATTATCACTTCCGATATCACTATTTCTCTTTTGTATAATCCTAATTTACTACTATCTGTCATCAACGCAGCTGCGTTAGGATCAGGCAAACTATGCCATAAAAATCCTGGCTAAGATACCACTCCAAATGGTACTCAAATTATTGAAAATCCACGGAAAGCCGAACGAGCAGTCTCTAGACAGTTTCATACGCGTTGTATTCTGCCCAGCGTCTTCGCCGGCATCGAAAATCTTCCATCGTCTGCATTGAAACTCGGAACCAGATTCGTTACTTATTTGCTGAACACTGAAAGGTTCTACAGAAAGAGTAGTGGAATTATTCATTTTCCTTTTAAATATTTCAAGGGATTCGTTATTTTTCAGTAATTATTACTGTTTACAATATAATGAAATAGGGGATGGCAAAGACTCATTGACTGGCCTGGCGTTCGTTAAAAATTGTAAAGGTCCCATCGTTCCCATTTGTTAAGACACGAAACGAATGAGTTGTAGTAATTCTATTCAGAAAAAATACATTTTTACATTTTATGACTTGTTATTATTAGAAGTGATGTTAATAAAGGGTGAATGACACACATCGATATCCAAATAACGGACACCTGTTGAGTAAGAAAAATTGGACGTTAAACGGAAGTTTAAAACGGGAGTCGTCTTACAATGCATTACGCGTAGTGCAAGCGTATTTTCGAACTATACTATGGTATCTGCGATGCTAGTTTCACTAACCTTGTAGATGAAGGGAAAGTAATAACTTTTTTCGTTTCTTGTTTGTACATTTTAATTCTTCTAAATGTTAAACATCTTTGATGTTTTGAGTGCATTTTTTCTCGCTAGCATTCTGAGATTTTCAAGAGACAAAACAAAATATTCTGTGTTATTAAATTAAAGAAATCAAAATCTCAGAATAAAACCCTCTTTGCTCCAAACTCTTTTCCCGGAAGGCGCAAACAGACGTTCCTCTCACAGGCGTGATAGCGCTCCGCCTACCCTAGTTAAAAGTGAAATTCATATTCGTGTTATACGTATAACTATAATATTTATTGCGCTTTACTGTTTATTATTATTATTTTATTCGCATATGGACTAGTCTACTCGATTCACGCACACAATTTCTATCTGAGGTCTAGTATCAATTTCTATCCTGGTGAGCTCAAAGTGTGGAATTATGGGAATCCGGCGATCGCTGTCATCAATGGTTAAGACGAGGCTGTTTGCCTGACTTATCAATATAGGGAGCATTTATTATTTTAATATTATTTTATTATATTATTTTATATTTTAATTATTTTTTTATTGTGTGATGATGACGTAAAGAAACTAGAAAGGTGGTGAGATGGATGGGAGGGGAGATGTCCCGATAGGATAGTTGAAACATCCCAGCAAATTTGCTTTATGACCGAGAAGGAAACACGAAATCCCCTTCATTGATGGCCAGCCGACGAGATCGAACCCGACCTTCGGATGTGATCCACAGCGCACGCTCCGCACAGAGCCACATCGCCGGCCACCGTTTCACTTTATTGCTTAATCTCCTTACTGACATTCTTTAATACGTTCTGTATGGCTTATCGTTGTGTACTCTAAGACTAACTAAACTAAGTCTTTGATAGTAACTCGGAGTAAAAGGAGAATAAAGTGTTTCCTAGTGGATAAGAATTACCTGTCGATTAATCAATTAAAATTAACAGAAAGCAAATTGCCCTTACTGGAGTAATTGGATAGCGGTTTTTTGGAATGCGTAGCTTATCGTCAATCATAAGTGTTGTTGTCGTTTTTTTTATTGCGGGAGATCAAGTGTTGTTCTCCGTGGATTGCGGATTCGGGATATTCCCATTCACGGTATATCACCAGGGGAACAGAGTTCTTGCCAGAAAGCTTAATTTCGATTTGGTCTCTCAACATGAGTAGTATTGTAGTGCATTAAGCTGATGTGTGTAAAAGGGTGGATAGGACAAAAGAGAAAGAAAAGATCGGCGCATTCCGTGACCGTAGTCTCGGGTACATTGCGCATTCGCTTGGTGTTTGATCGGGAGAAGAAACCATTGGAAAGCTACGTCAGAGCAGCCGCTCTAGATTCCTCCAGACAGCGGCTGATTTGACCTGGTATGTGAAAATGAAGACATTGTGCCACCTGGGACGCGACTCTAGGGACTTCACGGCTTAGAGCCATTGCGAGACATCAATTAATGCGCTTGAGCCACCATCAGCACTTTACTCTGATTCGCTCGGTCGCATTAGAAATAAATTTGCTTGTCCTACATCTACCGCCTTTTCGCGAGCTTATTCTTCTCTCGGTCCTTTTCTTCGCTGTCTTTCTCTTCCCTTTTCCTCACAAAATTTTATATTTATTATTTTAACCACCTTCCAATGAACTCTCTTCTTTTCTCTTTTACAACATATTCCCTTTCACTACTATGTTACAACATTATCGGTACTATTTACTGTTTCGGGCCCTAAGCGCCCATCCTGATTTGAGGTTTTTCTGGTTATACTCAATCGCTTAAGGGCGATGCCCGGATCGTCCCTAGTTTGTCTCCCCGACGATAAATGTTACAGTTGTCATCCCCTCTTAAATGTTCCTATTTAAATGTATGTAATTCAGTGGTTTAGTGCGGAGAGGCAGCCCTATGGCCTGAGCTCGCATTATAGAAATTATTTTACTATTTTTATTATTTATTATTATTAATTATTTATTATTATTATTATTTTTATTATTATTAATTATTATCTACCGCCAGGAGACAAGTGTTAGAGTCTCTCCCCTCTGCCTGGTCCTTTCCCGCGATGCCGGCGCGCTTGCGGGAGAGGGGGGGAGAGACAAGGTCCCGTCTGACGCAGAGCTGCCGCCGCCGACCTGCAGCAGCCCGCGTGTCCTCTGGAGGCCATGCCAAGAAGTTCTGCCCGCTCATCGTCCATTCGTGTCTCTTCCGAGCCTTTCGTACAGGTTCTGGCGACACGAATTACGCGCTCGTGTGAGTCTATTCAAAAGGATTATGGAGTGCGTTCGCGCAGATTCTTAAGAGCAGAAAAGGACTTCATGCAAAAGTATTAATTAAATTAAATTAAATTTAAAATATAAATTAAAATTACGGAAACTAGAATTACAAGCAAGATATACACTAAATTTCTTATTTGCAGTATTGTTCCTGGTCAGAAGATCATATACTAGTAGTTCCTTAAGACTAGCTCATGCGATATTGATTTTTACCAAAGGATGTTCTTCTATATTTACGTATTTTATTTTATATTTAGTTACTAGTGTTAACGATATATTTGTATTTAAGAGTATACTTTATTTAAAATTGAATCTTGTTTAGTCTGAAGCCTGAACATGGCTATTAAGCATTTCAAACTACTATGCAGAAATAGTATTTTTATTAATTATTATTATATATTTGATTATTATTTTATTGATTGTTATTATTGTCTATTATTATTATTGTTATTAATTATGGTTATTATTATTTATTTTTTTTATTATGCTTCTTAATTTTATTTAAATGAGTTTTTTATAGGTTAGACCTGCTAAACGTTTATATTGTTAATTAAGGTGATGTTGGCATTTGGTACTCACTCAGTATTAGCTAAATGCGGTAAAGGAAAGTATTTGGCCGTTTTGGCATTACAAGTATTCTTTACTAGTGCAAATTATTAATTCTGCTAGGGCTTTTAACAACAATGTTTCCAGATCACTACATGGGGTTACGTTACAGTTTAAATTCCAGTCGTAAATTACCCCTCGACTACGGAATGGATTTAGCACAGACACGACCTGCGGGCATTATAATCGCTTCGGAGAGATTTTCGCAACGAGTCAAATGCTATGCATAATCGGTCACGTAAAGACACTTGCACTAGGAAAATCTCTGCACGTTTATTGTGTTGTTCGCGTTTTTTACTGTCATTCATACAGCAGAAAAGCTTCAGAAAAAGTACCAATTGTGCCAACAGTTCTCACAACAGATAAAAGACTTTTAGTATAACAATGCAAAGAATTAATATTTGTTTATGCAAAACGCTCTTCAGAATAATGAATATAAAATCTGCCATAATTATTTTGCAGTTCAACAGTCCTTACGTACGAAAATGTATGAAAAAGCTGTTTCATAACGCATTGTCAATAGCGTATTCAGTGACGGGCGGACTTTTCCTTAGAGCACGCTGTACTTGACGTCAGCTGTGTGTATGAAGTGATGCATTGCGTAACAGAATTGGATTACGCTAGTTTAAAATAGGCCTGATACACAATACATATTTGCATTTTTCGGTCAACCGAAACTGTATCTTGGTTTTGCATTTTTCCTGCGTATCTGAGAAAATAATCACTTCAAATGAACGAAGTATGCATATTTTCAGTTGATTGTCTTGTAATTTGAAATAGTAATGTATCATATCAGAATTTTATATTTAGTAACCAGTCACTTTTTCAACGTTTTTGAAATTAATGTGAATTATTATTCTACCCTGAATTAAATAATGTTTTGAACAGGTTCATGTAATTTTTTCATTGATTGAATTTCTTAACGCCTCTTCTTGGATCTATTTTGCGGAATGATCCTTTAAGCTGTTTTGACTCAGAAGCTACGGATTTTAAATATAATTACCATAATTTTAGTAATGCAAAGATTTTTTATTATTTTGTACTGTGTCTGTTCTATTTCGTATTGATTTTTGCCGCTAAGAGCATTTATTCATCTAAACATGACTCATACTGTTTTTATAGTCTATTCCATTATTATGAGCATTTACCTTACTTCTGTTAGAATCTCACTTTTATTCTATCGGATTAACTCATTAAGCCTTTGTTAACTCAGTAAAGGTAAAGTGTAAAATTTATGTTTTGTAGAGATTTTCTTCAATAAGTTGTTTTAGGTTGGAAGTTCTATAGAAAAAAGGTCTCTTGCAGGTTTCTCTTTCGCCAATGATGTCTCTTTCACTAACGTTGTCACTTGATACATTGTGTCACAGATTTTTTATTGGCCAAATCTTAAGGCAACGGTCCAGAAATTGTAGAATTGTAGGTTTGGACTACGTCGGAAGAATTTATAATTAGATTTTGTGGAAGGCCCACACTAATTTTGGTGAGTCGTATGATATTAAATTTGAGAATATATTGATGATATTGAATTAAGCAATTAGTGAAACATAAAAAAAATGGGGCTCGAAGAAAAAAAAGACATGTGTAGGAAGATTAGGTCTTGATCTAGAAACATAAATATGTGTATTTGCGCCAGAAAGTAAGGGATCTTACATTACGCTTAGAGTGACTATTGTAGCAAATGAAGCTGAATGACAATTGACATTAAAAAATAAGGAAGCGAGGGCAGTTACTTTAACGCATTACATAATATTTCATGGAACTAGAATTTAGAAAGCTACAAAGAGACAAATCCGAATTACACTAAGATTGTGTGTGGGCTATCCGGAACAGGGCCGCGTCGAAGATCATGATGCTCAGTTTCGCCAGCGTATGGTTGCCTTTTCAGAGGCGTACTTGAGAAGGCCACATGACGGCCGAACGTTAGGCCACGGACTTCGAACCGCGGTTGTCCCGGGATAGCCACCACATTAAATCCTGGCCGCGGAAGCCTACGCACCACACTAGAGAGTCTTTACCTGGAAGACATCCAGAATAGACATACAAACAGTCTACTTAAAGGGACGCCTCATTTACTTCAGATCCGATATGTAGCAAGTTTACGAACATCTTTCAAAATTAAAAATAAAAGTGTAAATAAAGAGAATGATCAACATTCATTTAGTGTTGAATTTAGGGACAATGTGATGCCAGATGATTTTCAAGACTCATCAGAATTGTAGCAAATACTTCAGTCATTCTGCACTAATTTATTATTCTTTTAAAAAATTTATGTCATGTTACTTATTATACAACAAATAAATGTCAAAATAATTATTAGCAATCAAATATTCCTTTCTTATATGATCTTCTTATGTTTTGGACTTACCATCTCAACACCCCAGCACCAACATCACACACACACACACTAAGCGAGGCGCAGCGACAGCAACAACACAGAGCCACACACACATATATGGGAATGATATATTAGTAGTTGAATTCTAATTGTGATCATATTATCGGCTTAGTTATTTCGTAGAAATAGTGCCCGACGATGCAATATAAATTTTTATATTTAGGTGATATACATTTTTTTATGTTGCAATGAAACATTCTATTATGTAGTAAAATAATGCAATTTGTCCGATGAACTCATTTTGCTTGTGAATTTCAATTAAATAACGAAACTATTGTATCTCTCTACAATTCAGTTTTCATGTCATTAAGCTCTTTAACAACTGCAATTTCTGTCATTTAGAATTCCTCAAAATTACACACTGATGCGCACGTCGGGAAGATCGTTAGGGTTCAATGTGCCATTCCTGTGCTACACAGCACGTTGACATATGTTGGCAACGATCATACGCAAACGATCCAAAGATGGTCGACTGAATTTCGTCCAAATTCGTCTGCCACTGTGACGCCACCTAGTCATCGGCACTATGGCGTCGGAGGGGTCTCCAGCGCTCGTTGCTTTTTCAAAAAGGTGCGGGCCACGTTGTCGAGAGAGGAGCACGGCTCGCTTGCGGCAAGCGATAAACCTCTGCCGAAGCGGCCTCTAAATCCCGCTTAACGTCCGTCTCTGCGGCGGTGTTAAAACTGTCACCGCCATGTTGCAGGTCATGTTTCCTTTCTTCCTGATTTAAATTTATTACCTGATGAGTGTCACATCGCGAGCGAGCTCGGAGTTAACCATGCCTTATCATCGAGTTTCAAGGCCTAAAAACACCGAACAACTCTTTGTGAAAAAATCGTGTACATATTTGCTTCATGGCGCAGCACTGGTCTTAGAGGCATCCCAGAAAGGAAACATCCGACATTCTTCGTAAATAATTACATGTGAATACGATTTTTTCAGTTCTAACCTGATAGCGTAATTGAACTATTAAAAAATCTAGAAGTCAAATTTCAAGAAATTCCAAAAAAATGGTGTCTATCGTAAAAAGACATCACAATGTTCGATATAAAGGTCCTTGTAATCTATTACGACGTTAGCTTATTGTATGAAAATCAAAATTTCTCACAGCTGAATTTATTTTTAATATATCATCGTGATCGTTCTTGCGATGAGTGAAATCCAAGTTAAGTGGAGAATTGTATGATACTAGGGAAGGTAATCTCAGTCGAAATGAACCGCCGAGTCTTACGTGAAAGTGATTAGTGTCCGTTCTGGAAAAATAATTACCGATACAACGAAATGTGTTAGAATTTTTGAGACCTCAATTCGCACGGGGTGTTGCGACCTCAACGTTTCGGTTGGGGTAAATTACGCGACATACTAATCGTTACAACTAGGTATGATTACACCGCTAAGTATTATGCGGCTAAAGTCTACCTTTCAACAACTTTATTCTCGAATCCGTTTCGGTTTGGGCTAGCTCACGCCGCGCTTCTTCACCAACTGATCTAACCAACATAGCTGGTATTGATACGGTAAAGTTTATTAACTTTCGTGGGGTTTTGAAATCATTACCTTTCAGAACACCTTCACATGATTGATGTAGATTGAATTGATTTGATGTTTTCGGATATGTCACGCCGCGTTCTTCACCAAATGTCTACAACACAGCTGTTATGTGATACAAGTGTCATTACTTTCGGCGTGTCGATAATCAAACAAATAACCTATTCAGAACACCTTCCAATGATTTGATTCAATGTTGATGTTTCGGATAGTCACCGCGCGCGTTTCTTCACCCAACTTGCTAACAACATATCTGGTTTATTGAGAAGAGGTTTATCTACTTTCGCGGGTTGAAATCTAACTTTAGAACACTTCCATGATTATGAATTGATTTGATGTTTTCGGTAGTCACAGCCGCCGCTGTCTTCACAACTGTCTAACACATAGCTGGTATGATAGCGTTTATTACTTTCGGGGATTGAATCTACCGTTCGAAACCTTTCCAATGATTGATTGATTGTTGATTGATTGATTGTGTTTTTCGGATGTCCGCCGCGCTTCTTCCAACTGTACTTCTACCAACATAGCTGA